GTAGTCATGAATGAAATTCACGAGAATGGACTTTTTTTTTCTGCCGTTTTCTACTTATTTCTTACTCGTAACGTTAAGTTTAAAACGTCTTAGGGACATTGTTTCATTGGTACCATAATATAGGAGACAGCAACAATAATTCAACTGCCATTGTTATAGTTCTTATTTGTCTGTTAGTGTTACCCCCCCAGTGGCACAGCAGTATGTCTGCGGACTTACGACGCTAGAATCCGGGTTTCGATACTCATAATTAAGCAGAAAGCTACACAATGGGGTATCTGTGCTCTGCCAACCACGAGTATCGAAACCCGGATTCTAGCGTTGTAAGTCCGCAGACATATCGCTGTGCCACTTGGGAGCATCTATATATAGGCAAGAGTGTAGGCAGCACTACTGAGTGGGTGAGCCTTTAAGAAAATATGGATAGATCCTGGTATACAAATAATTTAAGTGATTTATATGAACTCGAAGTGTTTGTTAAAAGAATCAGAAGATTTTGGACCTTTTAGATTTTTTAGAATACTGAGACGGTCGTTCGAGCCCATGATCCTCCTGGCTACGCCTCTGATGGGGTTAATGTATTACTTAAAACCGTTGATTTAAGTAATAATTATATATCAAACTGAAATATATCAAATGTCGAAAGAATAAGGGAATGAAGTTCCTTTAATGGGAGATATTTCTAATTCTTCATTCTCGTCTTTTAAGTTTTCAATTTTATATGTTTTTAGTTAGTTTGTTTGTAATTAAACACAAAGCTACACAATGTACTGTCTGTTCTCTGTCCATCATGGGTATCCAAACCCGGTTTCTAGCTTTGTAAGTCCGCAGAAATGCCGCTGTGCCACTGGGGGATGTGGGCTATTTGTTTTTAGTAAATAAGACATTCAGTCTGTTTTTTTATAATGGTTTTACATTAATAGAATAAACTAAGCCCCCTTTTTTCAATAGGCTTTCCGTTAATTATCCAATAAAACATTTTAATATTTTTGAATAAATTCTGTAAGCTTCTGATCTCATACATGTTGTGTAGTTTCGCTTAATAACTAAAAATCAAAGAGGAAATAATGAGAAACTTAATAAATCACATTTGAAATTTGATCAAAAACTGACATGATTAAACTGCTCTTGCCTTTACATCAAATCAAAAATTGTAATGTGTTAAATTAGTTAAAACAGGTTAATCTACTATCATGAGGATGATGTAAAATCCTTAAAATGTATAATGGTTAAGAAAATGAAATAAAAAGTTCGGTATTGAAAACATTGAGAAGTTTTCAGCTTATGTGACATTTATTGTCCCCAAATTGCTCAAGAGGAAGTCTGCAGGCTTATGGCGCTATAAGTCGGATTTCGATCTCTGTGGTGTGCAGAGCATCAATAACTTTATGCTTAAAAACAGAAACAAAAAAGAAACCCAAATCATTTGTCGCTGTTTGTTGTTTGTTTTGTAAAATAAGTCAGGTTGTTTTTTTGAGAAATAGTTAAAAGAAGTTACCAGTGCATTATCGTTATTTTAATGCCTATCGAATTAATTTTATTGGATTTATTTACAATGAAGTATTTTTTTTCTAATGTTTTTTTTTTTTACTTTCTTTTTCATAACGATTTCACGGAGAAACTCAGACACAAAATAAATATAAATAATATCATTTATTAACGATCTTCAATGATGAATAAAAAAGATGATTGAATCTCAAAATATCTCTCAGGTTTATTTTTATAACTTTTTTATAGCTTTCTTTAAATATTGTTACGTCTCCGTTTGTTAATTAATTTTCCGTAACTTTGTTCCGACGAAACTTTAGCGACACAAGTCCTTACTTAATATAACTTTACGATACACTTAATTTCAACAATCGCGCTAAAACAATCGCTATAACAACGAACGTGTTCAATAATACTCTCTGACTGCAGATCAACTACTCACTGTCTACACA